TGATCTTGCAATCACTCCCTTTTGCCGCTGTCCTAATATTGGGATAATTTATCAGAGTAATAATCAAATGTTTAAGCTTTTTATTACCCAAAGATCATAAGATTCTCAACGACATGACAAAATGAAACTCCACAGCTAATGTTATTATATAAGGAGTCCTGAGTTGGTATAAATAACGTGGATTTGTGTGAAAGAAACTGTTTCCTATTCATCGTATGTAACATGTACACACAATGTTTCTAAAAAATGATAGCTGTTTAGATTAACAATGTACAAAGTTGTCCGAAATTGTCACTTCAGATGAAGTGTTTTAAATACAAAAAAATATTTACAACAGAGTGAAGTAATTGAAGGTTGCTCATACCTTCACTATGTTCCATGGGCTCCAGTTGTCATGAGATATCCTATGATCTTCTCTCAACCTCTCAGTCACATTAATCCATCTAACAAAAGCTTTATCCCAGTCATAATCATAATCGACTAAGAATTCCAGAAAATCCCCACATTCGTTAAATGCTCCTGGTTCAACATATCGGAAATCTCCTTCTACATTCATGGTCTCGTGATTCCCATTTAACTGCAAAAGATGAAACCTTCATCAAAGAACCGGCCATGGGCACCGGAGTTAGCATCACCGGTGGCCGAAAACCAAAACCTAACCTGGGGCTTTGATACCAACTAGAAATATAAAAGATGAATGATAATATTGATAATAATAAGTTTTAAACATACAAAGAAACTATCTCTCTATATATAGAGAATGAGACCACATAGAACTTATATCTAAGCTATGTGGGACTAAACCACACACTAAAAGCCTACAATACCCTTTACTTCCTACAGTCCATATAAATATTTAATTAGTGCATCCATGGTTTCACCATTTGTGTTAAAAACAATCTGTACAAACATGCTCCTTTTCTTTTTACTCTTAAAATGACTTCCCGATCTTATTTTGAAGCTATGCAGTGGCCCATTGGTCATGGGGTTGGGCCTCAAGGTCTTGGGAATCCAACTTCCCCAGGGAAGGAAGGTTTATGAAATATGTAGTCAATAAGTCGTAGTTGTATCAATAAACAAAATTACTTCCCCTCTTTTCCTGGGAGAACAGTTCTTGTTATAATTGAAGGGTATAGGTGTGTCAGTGTTTGCCAAATTGTCAAACCCTTCAGGCATATATTCTTGTGGCAATCACTGACACGTATTTGTGTCCTACTGTCTTGTTGCATAGCTTACCTAGTCTAGTTTCACATGCCACTATAATGTTCAAGTAACAATCTTGAACTTTAATTTTCACTTGCAGTACGCACAAACCTGAAACACTGCCCCGCCTTTAGACTTTGCCTGATTACTCAATGACCGCAATAAGGATAAAATCGCTATTTCATCTTCTCCTCTGTCAAGGATATCTCCAAGTTGAACTAATACCTAGGACAAACATTTAATAAATGATATAATTTATAAATCAGAATGACATGGAATCTCAACTATGAAGCCAATAAATCATACATAATTTACAGACATAAGAAATTGATATAAAGCCCTATAATGGAATTATCTCGCACTTTTACCAAACAAATTACAGTATAAAACAGTAAATTTAATTAAGAAAACACGACTGAATAAAGGATTAGGCAAATATGAAGTGACATATAACAACTAAGCATAGATGATACATTTGGATAAATGGAAATTTTTGCTGGAGATTACTAGATTGTAGGGGGTGATTACTTCCTGTTTGCCCATCTATTAGGAAGATAGTCCTATTTAATTTATTTGGGGCATCGGCATATGAAGTATGATTGAAAGAAGCAATGAAGCATCCAATTCTCAGATCAGCTCCATCCCTGAACCCCTTATTTGTTATAGAACTATGTTAAAATGCTACAGAAGCACCACAATTACTGTGCCACACCATTTTCTGATAGTTCACTAAATTCTTGTAGTGAACACCACAGAGAATATTATTGGACCACAAGTACATGTGTAGAAACGTATAATACATGCTACAGAAGCATCACAATTACATGCTACAATATTATTGGACCACAATTACATGCTACAGAAGCACCACAATTACTGTGCCACACCACAGAGAATATTATTGGACTGTCAAACACTATAATACACGTTGTAGGCACGAACATACGCCAAAAACATGGGTTGTGTTGTTAGCTTGACGGAATGTTCCTCAGGCACACTAACATGTGTAGAAACTTGTTTGCTTAATAGAATCATAGAACTTCGTCTGAAGTATCAGACACTATTCACAAGGTTATAGGGTGCCTACCCAAGAAAAGCAAACTTCTTCCCAAATATGTAGATACTAGCAAGCAATTCAAAGAATCCTGCATATATGAGTATATGACCAACATACAATAAGAAACATCTATGGTCAAGACCCATCAAATGATGAGTCCAACCTCCAACATTCATGTCAAAGAGATTACCGTTTCTTCCCCGGTCCATAAATCTTGGCCATCTGAACTCAACACGCCAGCAGTCTCAAGAGCACATCTAGTTTGAGCGAGATCACCATGCAGATCTCCAACTAATCAATTAGAAAGACGTTATATAAAAGCGAGTATAAATCAATTATTTTTTACACAAATGAGTAGCTATTGGAAAAAAAACACTAAATCCAACTAAATGAATCAATGATCTGTAATAACCAATTTACAAGAGTGGCATTTGTAGAAAATGAATACTGCAAAACCCTTAATACTGCAATGTAATCAAACATCTACACCAAATTGTTTATAACCCCCAAGTCATTTGAGTGAAAATGAAAGTAACTCGTTCCCCAGAGAGTTACTAGTTATCATAGTTAAAGTTGATTATTACGATATTAAATACAGAATTCCCTGGTCATTCTTTCAATTTCGAACATTTGCTATCAAAGTTTCACTATTTTAAGCTTATATTCCTAAGTTTAATTGTGATAATATAAAGCATTGACACTTTACCAGCAATAAATGAATTGACACAAGGATTTCAATATGCTGGACAAAAACAAATAAAAGGATCGACGCTATACTACATTTAAACATACAACACAGGTACCAATCTTGCCATAGAATCAAATTATCATAATGGGTACCATTAAATTCAATGCATTTCACTATAAAACATGTAAATTTATAAAAATGAAGTGATGGGGAAGTAAGAAAATAAGCTCACCAGCAACAATTCTGCGACCAGGAGCAGAAACAAAAGTGGGAGGATTTCCAGTAACAACTATGGGTTTTAAAGTTCCATGTGAGAGAGAAGTAGTTTCTGTTAACTTACGAGGTTGAGAAGGAGTTGGGAGAGGTAATGAATTGATAGAGAATGAAGCCGCCATGGATTCTTCTCTTCTGCTTCTCTCTTTTCTCTCTCACCCTCTTCTCCTTCTCCTTCTCCTTCTCTCATCATCATTTTGGTCTCTTTCCTTTTTGAATTCTTATCGAATATCTCAGCCAAGTGTTTTAGATTCTCATACTCTTTTTCTTACTGGGCTTTTATCAAACAACCCAGCTCATCGGTCACGAGATTGGCCCCAACTGATGTGTTTATGTTGGGCCGGGCCGGACTATGTAGGGGTTTTGTGAAACACTGGCCTCTAATAATAGTTTTGTCATGTTGGGTCATCCCGTCTTGGCGTCTTGCTGCTGAGTGAAAAATGAGCAATTAGAAGACACATGTTGAGGTAGGCTATGTTGGGTCACCTTCGTTTTTTTTCTTCTTCTAACTGGCAAGCGAGGTTGAAGGAACTCTTACCCTTTTCAATTAGGTGAAATTTCTGTCAACAATCAGTCAGCTGTTGAGGAGTTTTAATCCCATTACCGTTGAGCGAAAAGCCTAAATTCCCCTACATTTGTAAATTGAGTTTCTACTTTAGAAGTCGTTTTACAAGTATTTCACGACAACGCTTGTAAATATGCTTTAAACTTTTGGATAGTTTATGTTGAGTCAAAAGATACACTTAACATGGTACAAGTCATGAACTCAAGCTGGTAAGGTGTAAGTTGTTGCCCACAATTGATTTGTGATTCCAACATATGGCGTAATTTTGTTAAAGCGATCACCAAATAATATGTAGAGTTCATCTTAGTCAGAATTTAATATGAACGATGACCAATTAAAGTATATATTGTGCATGGCAAGTTTTGAAATGGTTCAGTAGTCAGTAAGTCAGTCTCAGTGCAGTTATATGACTGGATCAACTAGAAGTCCAGTATAGTGAAGGATCTTCTGATATATACTTATGTTAATTTGACAGTAAAATAAATAAGTTAATTGATGTACATTTTTTAAGTTTGGAAACCAAAGAAAGAAAAGATCTACTATATTATATTCTACAGGCAGCTGTAAACGGAAAGATTGGGTAAAGGAGGAAACCTTTTGATGAAGGAAATCATTTGTTTAATGATATATCAGACACTAGTACTGACTACTGTAAAGAACACTAATACTCTGTTCAAATTTCTGATTCAAATTTGAAGTTTGAACCATATATATATATTAAAAAACAAATAAGTGTATAACAAAGAAAATGCATTCGGCTAGTGAGTATGTATGTATCTAACATTCTAATTTCTAACTATCTATGCATAGCCAGCATGTGTGAAACTGTGAATCCGTCCGTCCCTTCACTATGTAATAGAAAAATTCTGTGAGCTAGCATTAGCTAATAGCCTAATAGCTAAGCTCACACCACATGCCCCAAGACCAATGGGCATGAAGAGAGAGTGTTGTCTGCACTCTGCAGTGCCGCCCAGCCCAGGCCCAGCACCTTATTAGCTAGACGACTAGTATACAATTTAATTCTCTTCCCTCTCTTATAAATGCACACTCTTCCACCACTTACCTACACCATTACACCACCACCAACAACAACAACAACAACAACAACCATTCCATTCTATCCTTTCACTCAGGTTTTTTGAATTGTTCTTGAATGAATAATCTTGATGGGTCTTTTTCTTTCCTTCTTTATTTCTTTCAGAACTATGTATGTATAGGAGATTCTGTAAAGCTCAGGAGGGATAGCGCCATGACTATGTCATATGGGATTCATTCACATATTTGATATATCATATCAATCTAGTCAATTGCGCTATCCATCCTGAGCTTTATTGCATCTTCTTACTCTACCTACTACTTCATCAGTACTGCCTGTTAAGATCTCAACAGTCATTCAATATATATAATCAACACACATCACACTTGTAATGGCCGGTGATTTGGGATATATGTTATTCATCACGCTTTCATTTGTTTTCTGATCTTGTTAAAGATAAATGTCTAGGTCTTCATAAATGATCCTTTTCTTCATGTAGATATGGGTTTGCTTTTCATCCATGAAGATGAATTAATGGTTATATATAGGTAGGTATCACATTATAATATCCATTACTTGTTGGTTATTTTGGCTATAGCTAGGTTTAATCCAATGGTCATCCATGTTGGTATGTTATCTGTTCATCATATATATGCTCTTTTACTTTGTGATTTATTATTTTATACTGAAGATCACTTAAGAAATTTGGGTATATATGCAAAGCTAAGCTAGTTCACTTAATTTGTGCACTTCAATTATATATATTGGAAAAGTTTGCTTTTCTATCCTACTTTTTGAAGAATTAAATTAGCTGGAGGTGCTGAATACTGTAAGTGCATTAACTGATCGATCACTTCAGGATTATGGCTTAAAATCGACATAAATGAGCATCTGGATCTTCTGGGTTTTCAGTATTTTAACTTCTTAGATTTTCGTGTATATATATATA